CGGGAGCCCGTGCAAATGTGTTCTGCCGGTTGTATGACCAAGTATTCCAGCACAAAACACAGGAACGATCGCCAAAGCTTCGTGTCGATAATGCCCATGCTGCTCCCCGTCTCCCTGGCCAGAGCCTCCTGTTCCCGGGGCAACCGCTCCGCGTCTCCATAAAATGACTCACCAAATGATAACTCACCGCATGAGGATGTCTCGGCAACTGGTGCTTGTTGCTCTTCCTCATCTGACGCAAACACGTCCTCGTTCTCGCTGGCAGATCCCGATGCCTCTGGCTGGACCGGACCACTGCTGCCACCTGCACGGCTCCGAGTCACTCTCGCGCACTCCAGGCGACGATGCTCCCTCAACGTTTCTGGGCTCATGCCATCGATCTGCCTTCGGCGACTGGCCCCGGACCTGGACACGTCGTCTGCACGCGGGCGCCCGCGTTTCATGGCGAGCGCACAACTAAAACCCTTGGCAACCCGAAACTTCAAACTGGGACACCCCCGCTCTGTACACGGCGGACGTAGTCGCACCGTGGCTCTTGGCCGTGACGCTGTCCGAAACACATTACACCTACTACCCTTAGACACCAAGCCCTGTCTTGCAACAATTACACCCTGCTCTTCACAGCTTGTGCTCTGCATGACACTCTCTGCTAGCTCAAGGTCGGAGTAAACCAAAAAGGGGGCGCTTCAGCCGTTTCCCTCCAGGCCCCCATCGATGGCGTTAGCTGTGCTGCAGAATTTCTCTGCGCTTCGGACCCTACCCAGCCCCCGTGGTCAGGCAGGTTGGCTCTGCAGGATCTACGCTTAGCTTGGTGACGTGAGTCCTTGATGCATGGTGCAGCCTTTCTCTTGTTATTGTGATGCCTCAGGCTGTAAGTTCACGGCTTTGGAGTCTAGATTTATTGGGCTTGGGCTCCTTGCATTTGTGGCCTGAAAGTTCTTCTTGGACGAAGCCCTTCCACGACAACCGCCTCAACAAAAACTACATCCTCGACTGAGCTTCATGGGAGGGAAGGACGGAATGTTGGAGGAGGGTTTAGACTTTAAGTCTGCGGGGGCTTTTCTTACTCAACTCCGGCCTCTGGATTCCGGCAACGTCTCCGCCACCGCCGCGGCGAGGGCGGCTTCAAGATCCATGGGCCTGCTTGGAGGATCAGGGGACGACTCAATAAGTCAACTTTACTTGGGGCTAGAAGCAACTATAGGTCTAGTTACTGCTGGTGTGTACATACTTATGTTGAGCCCTCACTTTCCGTAGGGTAGTGTAAGTCACACTTCTAGAGAATACTGTACTATAAGTATAGTAATACTATACGATCTCTACCTTCAGAAAAGACACTTTCGGCATCTCTTTGCGTGAGCTAGTAAAAGGACTGTGCACTTGTGCGAGCCATAGCTTTTTTTGCATACAGCTTATTTCCCCGTCAAGGGGTTATGAGCCCAACCTTCTGAACCCTGCGCGTGGTAACAGTTGGTCGCTGACCACTTTCCTGAGCTTCGGGATGGAGGAGACGGCTGAACACAACGAGGTGGCTGCGACATACGAGGAGGCGGATCAGGATTTTGCTTCGTGCCCTCGTGAGGAGCATGAGCAGAAGGATCTGAATCCTCCGTGTGAGCTGCTTCGTGCTCGGAAAGATCGTACAAATCGAGAAATGGAGACTGGAGCTAGTACAGCAGCGAGCGCGGCGGATAGAGAAGTGGAGCCAGAACGGTTGGCCAATCTGCGAGTTCAAGCCGATGCAACGGGAACAGAAGATGTAGCTGGGCAGTTACAGCAACTGGTTTCGGTCGTTGGTGTGCTGGCACGTCGACTGGAGAGAGTGGAGGCAGCGTCTGCGTCCGACACGTCGTCGGGTTCTCAGTGGAGGCCTAGGTCGGACACCGTAAATCTGCGATACGTCGACCATATATGCTACGTAATAGATAAGTATATCAATGGAAAAGTTTACTAGTAGATCAATATACTAACCTATTAGTACATGAATGTGCTAATGGAAGGGTACTTTAATATAGTAGTATGTATATTAAAATACAGCAGAAAATCGTTATGTACTAGTACACGCATGAGTATTGATTTCAATGTCAATGTGAGCCTTAGTATTAATATGAATATCAGTCTGAATATACATGCTAATATTGGGAAGAATACTCGTATACGCAGTAGTCTTCGTATTAGTATACGGTTTAATTTTAACATACTAGTAATAAACTAGTATCTTTTAAGGTCATTATACTAATACATGAATGTCTTCGTGTATGCGCATGTTTGCATACCTGTTTAGTCGTACATTGGTCTATTCGTCCTTTATTGTGGTAGTATATCAAAATACATTGGAAACTGGTACATTTGTATATTAGTACATTAGTTTGTCAATATATTAACTTTTATACAACTTTGGCAAAGGAGTATATAATGCATCAGTATATACATAGAAAAGTATAATAGTATGTTGGTGTTTTAGTACAGTAGTATATTTGTTTATTAGGGCCAATATATCCATGCCAACAGTGACACTTCCCTGTGAATCCAAGAATCCGAAAATCCAATCTTTTCGAGGAGATGGTAGAGCGAAGCTTGGATTTTTGGATTTGCGGACTTTTGGACAATCGTTTGTCTTTATGTCGAGTTATTTAGTGCACGTGGCTTGGTAATATGCGTAAAGTGCTAAAACGCAGGGGCCAGGTTCACCCCTGGAACCAAATCCTGCATGGCCCATTATAAAGCGCAAGGCTCCACGCCAGATCAATTAAGGAAAGGATACTCTCGTCATAAAACCATTGTACTAGAATGACGAATAAATATATAGGGTTTAGGGTTTAGGGGTTTAGGGTTCAGGGTTGTGCAAGGCTTGATATTTAGTACTACTGTTCCTGAGGTCTCCTCCGTACAATTTTTACTAGAATCTAAACCAAAACCCTAATCTAGTTATTCAGGTCCCTGCGTTACCGCGTTGTTTTCGAGATGGCTTTTTGATTCTGCTCGATCAAATTCAGATGATTCAACGAGATCTCTCCCCAGGGTGGCTGAAGGACTTCGTCTTGAACAAGAGGCCGCAACTGGGTGGCATCTACACTAGCCCGTGAGCTGACCTGTGTGCTGAGCTCGGGATGGAAGGGACGGCTGAACAGAACGAGGTGGCTGCGACATACGAGGAGGCGGATCAGGATTTTGCTTCGTGCCCTCGTGAGGAGCATGATCAGAAGGATCTGAATCCTCCGTATGAGCTGCTTCGTGAAGCTCTGGGTTCGGAAACTGATCGTACAAATCAGGAGCTGGAGCCTGGAGCTAGTACAGCAGCGAGCGCGGCGGACAGAGAAGTGGAGCCAGAACGGTTGGCCAATCTGCGAATTCAAGCCGATGATGGGGACCAAAGCTTGCGACGTCAGCAACAAGTTTCTTCTCCTGGATCACGAGTGGCGGATGGCCGTTCTGCAACGGGAGCAGAAGATGTAGCTGGGCAGTTACAGCAACTGGTTTCGGTCGTTGGTGTGCTGGCGCGTCGACTGGCGAGAGTGGAGGCAGCGTCTGCGTCCGACACGTCGTCGGGTTCTGGCCTAGGTCGGACACCGTAAATCTGGGATACGTCGACCATATATGTTACGTAATAGATAAGTATATCAATGGAAAAGTTTACTAGTAGATCAGTATACTAACCTATTAGTACATGAATGTGCTAATGGAAGGGTACTTTAATATAGTAGTAGAACATCTTTACGTACTAGTACGCGTATGAGTACTGATTTCCATGTCAATGTGAGCCTTAGTATTAATATGAGTATCAGTCTGAATATACATGCTAATATTGGGAATAATACTCGTATACGCAGCAGTCTTCGTATTAGTATGAGTGCTGAAGTGCATGCCACCTTTGCAGTTCTTGCTATGTATACATGTAAAGCTTTTTTCCATGTGCTCGTAGGCCCAAGCACAGAGCGGTCTTGAGCATGCTTTTAACACACGTGTATCATAGTTGTAGGTGCCACGTCCAATGTAGCACAGACTTTACTTTTTTTCGTTGCTTGTTAGTGCGCGTAAAATCTCCGCCCATTGTGTGAGCCATGTCTGGGGTTACAGCTGCAGGGGAATTGATCACTCCACTTGTATCTTATTCCCAGCCTGCTGGTTCACACCAGCAGGTTATGAGCCCAACGC